GCCGTCCCGAGTGTCTTGACCTTGACATGATCTTCCCCATCTCCCCAGGTCGAAAGCGACTGGAAACAAACCCCAAGGTTAGATCTCATCTTCCCAGCGCGCACCTCCTCGTCCAGAAACTTATCGAACGAGGAATGCGGCTCCGCATATTCCGGACGCGCATCCCTGCGGCTCTGCGCGGTCAAGGTGCGATGGATCTCCGCCAACTCCCCCTCATCCTCCTCTGACAGAAACACATGCGACAAGGGAGCTCCGTCATCATGAGCCCTCGCTCCCTCCGATGAAGCGGTGGCAGAGGACTGCAAGTGTGGTACGGGATGCGGAGGCATTATACTTAGCCCAAGGCCATTGAGAAGCAACAACTAGAATCCGGGTCTGACTCCAACACAACCACCGCAAGATGTTGGACACTATTTAAGGACAAATTGAGGGAGTGCAGCCCGGGACCCGCGGGGTAGTGGATGATTTACATATTCTCGGTCCCCGGAACCCCAAAACGGAAGCCAAGACACATTCGGTCTAGGCGTTTTGCCGGCGGCGATAGAATCATAATCTTATTAAGTAATAAATTACGATTTGCAGCCCTAGCCGCAGCAGAAACCTATTCTCCGACTGGCCCAGAGAAGCCCGCGGAATGACCTGGGGAATGGTACCTACCAGCCATACTTGCAGTCTGAGTTTTCTGCCCGTTTAGAGTCGTGATTGGTCTACAGGCGCTAAGCGGGGCGCCTTAGCGAGGTTGGCGCCCATCAAAGATGAGGTCAGCAAATTGCGGCGCTATTTTTACTAGATTAGGAAGCTCGGGGGAGAAAAAGCTTTTTGTGCCAGAGACCCACCGGCCCATGCCTAGCAGAAGCCGAAGTCAATCACGAGAATGTGCTGCATGGTCTTGCATGCATATCGTATTGCGATATAGCAATTGAGCTCATTGCTCAAGAACACTTTTAATCCCCGAATTCTTGCGATGAGCTGCGAAAGATCTCCTTCACAACCAAAAATGCCGTAGTTGATGTGATCAATCACGCACCTTCTAGTTACGAAGGCTAATTCCTCGACGGATCAGTCTCCCAAGATTGAGAGAGCAGGTCGAGAAGAGCGCTATGGAAGAGTGAAGATTAGCTAAGTTCGTAAAGTACTAGACTACACCCCCAAGTTCTCATTCTCAAGATTCGTTCAAAACAGGTGTGCTTTTCGTAGCTCGCCACGAGTTTTCCGTGTAATGACGTCATTCCCAGGCTGCGCTACAGGAAGCCACCCAAGATAGAGCAAAGAACTCCATCGATTCGAAGATCGATGGGTATGATGCAGTCATAAATACACAAGAATCAAGTCAGTCTAGCTAGTGTGGACCACCTATGAAAAGAGTAACCTTTCACCATAAACCACAAGGGCGGAACCGCCAGCAAGGATATAAAAGTCTCTGCGAAACCCAGCCAGCGAGCCCCAGCTCTATTCGTGTATTCGAACCTCTAAGCTACCATCCATCGCCAAGACACCAAGTCACTCAGCTAGATGCAAGTCCTTTGCCAAGTCCGGCTGCATCAACTCCTGGTTGAACTCCTCCGACGCAGGCAACTCCAGATGCACATGTGTGTTGACTGCGGCCTTCAACTCGACATTCTCAGCCTCAAACTCCAAGACATGACCACCAGCCTGGCGGTCTGAAGACAGAAAATGCAGATGAAAGCCGGCGACGCAGATCCCGTTCGTGTACGGCGGGGAATAGAACCCGAACAGCGTGCCGGCGACATTGTCGTACGTCTTGACGACCTGGCGCTTAGACAGTTCTAGCAACGGCTCCCGTGGGCGGATCTGCGGGCCACCGATGCGGTACACGATCTTCTTGAACGTGGCGTCCACGCGGACGGCGATAAAGTTATTCTGATTGGCGGGGAAGAATGGATGCAGGGCTTCCTGTAGGGTGTCCATGCGCAACGTGTCCAGGGGTTTGGTCAGCGTGGGCTGAAAGTCCGTGGCGACGATCATTGGTAGATGGTCTGTGGGCGCCAGCCGGTGTAGTTGGTTGTCTGGGGTAAAGTGATAGGCCTCGCCGTCTACTATGACGATCTCGCCGTTCAGGCCGCAGACGGTGCCAAGGCCGTGGTTGCATCTGGAGAGGACATCGGAGACGGTCGCTCCGTCGGAGGAGAAGCCCTGCATCAGGGCGCTGAAGACGCCATATTGATAGATGTGATTCATTTTGGGACGAGATTGGGATTGTATCTCATGTGGTAATGAATGTGTCGGATTCTGGTGACAGGATGATGATGATGCTCGTGCGGGGTTGTCTATATGACTGGGCACTAATCCGTTTAAGGAAACCGATACCGGTGGCATTATGCTCAAATGCGGCTCTTGAAGCCGAGGAGGCTGGCTTCTACTCCGTGCTCATAATTCCTTGGTGTAATAGATATATACTCCATATTTTGGCCAAGTCATTTCTGGCTAGGCTAGGAGACAAATTGCGCAGTTTCACACACTAAGACTCATATCAGCTGCTGTGTCTGCCGCATCGCTTACCATGCCAGCAAACCGTATGACCACCGCACGGGCCACAACTTAGCATTGCGGTTAACCCGCAATCGGTCTGCAGTCTCTGTTCTATTGCACATCTGATGGCCAGGGCTTCGAAGGTCATGTGCAGGAACTCCCCCCCCCCCCGGGCTGGAGGATCCGGATTATCCTGCTACAGTCACCTTCCATAACTGAATCTCAAATGAATCCTCTGATTTTAAGCATTAAAAAAAGTCCCCATGTCTTGAAGATATACGGTAAGTTTAGTATCCAATGGAGGGCTCAAGTGTGTGGTGTAACATGGAACCAACCCAATTAGCTGGATTAACAGGGCTAGCACACAAACATTCCGTAGAGTCTACCAGTGTCGTTGAGATCACTTCCTAGTTCGAACAAAATACCTCGCATCATTCGGCATGAACCTATTGTAGAGAATACTGGACGAACTCAGGTCTTCTTGGAGATGATGCTTGTAAAGTGTCTATGTAGTGTAGGATGGAAAGGATTGGAGGGGGCGGGTGGGGCAGAATACTGAGTACTTCCCAAGTTCCCATGCATCTTTAGCGCATGAAGACGGGCAGCGATGCTGATCCCAGCCTCCCAGCCTCCCACAGGAAATCAGTCGTAGGGCTGGCTCACCTGGTCCACTGCAGTCTGGCTGTACGCCACATGGCACGTGCTCTGCAACACTTCAAGGTTCAACCGATTTGTCTCAAGCCTATTTTAGGATAGAGTTTGATGCAGAAGGGTTGTCGTCATTTAGTTCTAGATGTTCTATCAGTGTTGCTCTTGCTCCTGCGTATCCGCCAGGTGGCTAAAGATCCTTCAATGAATGAGCGGTGAGTCACCTCGTTTCATCTAATCACCGTAACCTGTGGTTGCATCTGGTCGGAAAATGTCGCGTTGAAGATATTGCAGGCAGAGTTTGCATGTCCAGCTTCGTTGAGGTTGCCGCATCAGGGTCCAATGGTTTCATGCCCTATGGCTAAAGTACGGCAAGTCCCGGACTGGCCCAGTAGGTAGAATGATGAGGGAAAAAAGAAGCCCGAGCCATCTCCGAGTCTCCGAGATATTCCCGCGCGCCGAATGAAAACCGAAGCGCTTACTTGCCATCTATGAAATATCTGACGATGCCCATGGGTTGGATATATAAGCGTAGTTCAGCCTTATCTTTCTTTCCTGTAGAATAAGCAGTTCAGTCTCTTTCTGTCAATCTGTCTCTTTGTCGTGCAAATTGCTTTGCTCAAAATGAGTGCGAGATCGTCTTTAGAGGTCAAACTCCTGGAGAAACCACGACATGTCTCCACAAGAACAAGAAGCAACCTCAAGTCTCGCTTACGAGAACAATGGGAGCTATGGAAGGTCGGGCTAGCTGCGAAGGAGCATTGGGATGACGAATATAATTTTCCGCCGGGTCGATATTATGGCCAGAGCCACCCATAGATGTGAGTGAATGTTTGCCATTTTGTTGGCCTAGGTCTCTAACATGTGTTGCTTTCAGTCATACCAGTCATTGAACCTCATACAAATTACCACAACTCAGCCCAATCAAGGCAAACCAAACAATTCCACGAACGCATGTCCCAGAAGAGCCACACAAACTTCCCAACACGGCACCAAGGGATCCTATGATATCGACGACATCTTCTTTCACATTTCAAAGCCATCAGTCATTTTTCCGGTCATTTCGTGTTTGATGTTGCAACATATCCAAGCATCAGTACGGCGTTCGCTTGGGATTCATCTCAACAATTGCGCTATACGAACATGTAATGTTTGATTCACATACCCGAGAATCAGGACCTGTCCATCATTTTCAATTTAATTGATCTTTACTGTCTTCATTATTTTCCCAATAAAAGATTTACTCCGCTCCAGCTCCGACAATGTCTCTCCTTACCTTTTTTCAGAAGTCTTGGAAAAAAGATTATCTTTTTGTTGCCCGGTTGTCATGAATATGTATCGATCCAGGGTTTTGAGCCGAGTTCCCGCATGAGCGACGAATTTTGCCTAGTCGAGACGACATCAAGCGACACGCACGCAGGGAAAGAAGCGTTGGGCATCACGCTGTCTTGGCCTGCCATACTTAAGCGACATGTCAAATCCACGAAGTGAACACAAGAAGGTCTATTTGAGCATAGAGGTGCTTGTAGAATTACTAATCGAGCACGACCGTTGGACCCGTGACCGTGGACCGTGGACCCTCCCGACAACTTCCCAAACCGGTTAGAATGTCTTCTCTGTTGACCTTCCTTTTTCGGCATGGCCACATCCACATTGACTGGGCCCTGCACGCCTACCACATTTCTATACTCACGTAGTCATTTTATAAAAGAGGGAACCCTCCTCGTCGAAAATACGCAATGAATGTGAGTCCTTGCTTCGCGCAGCTAGGAGACATGTCTGACTACTCCACAGAGCAAGACAAACCGCCAGGTGAGGGCTCCGGGGTGATGTCTTCCTCTCCTGCCCAACTCTCGCCTGATATGCACCGTCCACAGCCATCATCATCGCCACTGGATGCAGCTACGATAGAGAGGCTAGGGCGAGAACGACCCCCCATCTTCTCGAGTATCTGGTCTGAGTTGGCCTTCTGCTTTTCTATCATTATGTGTCAAGTTCTGGCAGTACGACCGTGCTCCGATGTCCGTCGCATAGCTTTTGAGATGTCTAACATGTATTCAACATAGGAATACTACATTTCCGGCTCCAATGTCCTTCTTCCGACGCTCCTTGACGAGCTAGATATCCCCTCGGCACTGTCAATCTGGCCGTCCACCGCTCTCTCCCTCGCGGTTACGTCTACCCTCCTCATCTATGGCCGCCTCGCGGACATGTACGGCGGGTTCATTATGTACTTTGGGGGAATGGTGTGGCTGACTGTCACCTCCCTCATTGCCGGATTCTCTCAAAACTGGATGATGTTGTTTGTGTTTCGTGGTCTGCAGGGGCTGGGCTTAGCTTCCTTCCTTCCCTCCAGCATCATGATTCTCGGAAAGGTCTATCGCCCTGGGCCGCGCAAGAACCTTGTCTTCAGTGTTTATGGCGCCTGCGCAGCGCTGGGATTCTTTGCTGGAATTTTCTTCTCGGGTCTCGCAGGCAGCTTCCTCACCTGGCGCTGGTATTTCTATATCGGCTCAATACTGTCTGCCATTACGGCTCTTTCGTCATACTTCTCGATTCCAAATGATTATTCCGCCACGAGAGCGTCGTCAAAGGCTTCAATGGACTGGATAGGGGGTATATTGCTTGTTCCCGGGGTCGTACTATTTGTCTTTGCGATTGCGGATAGCGCGCACGCGCCGCAGCAGTGGCGAACACCGTACATCCTTGTCTGTCTCATCCTAGGCGCTGTCATCTTAGGTGCCTTCGTCTACGTGGAGGGCTGGGTGGCCGATAAGCCTTTGCTGCCCGGAGATTTGTTTTCTGTCAAGTACATGAAACCGATCGTGATCTGTCTGCTGCTCATGTACGGCAGCCTGGGAATTTTCCTTCTCTATGCTGCGCTCTAGTATGCCCTCACCCCACCCAGCCCCAACTTCCATCTCTCTATCACTTCTTCACGCATCTACTAACGCTCCGCATCAACAGCATGGAAGGTATAATGGGCGCAACCCCACTCCAAGTCGTCGCCTGGACGACCCCGATGGCCGTGGGCGGCCTGATAATATCGATAGTCGGGGGCCACATCCTTCATAGTTTGAGCGGAACCCTTCTCATTATTCTTTCAGCCCTGGGCTACTTAGGCTCAGGCCTTCTCTTTGCGGTGATCCCCAGGGGAGGCAACTACTGGGCCTTCGTGTTTCCGGCCATGATCTGCGGGACGATCGGCATTGACATCAGCTTCAACGTGACCAATATCTTCATCACAACGAATATGCCCGGGGAGCGCCAGGGGCTGGCGGGGGCGTTGATAAACTGCACCCTGCACATGGGCATTGCCGTCATGTTGGCCTTCGCGGACCTCATCCAAGTCTACACGGAGGAGTACCTGAACACAAAAGAGAGCTACCAGGCTATCTTTTGGTTCCAGGTTGGGCTGTCAGGGCTAGCATTGATCTTGAGCGCGCTGTTCGTCAGGATTGAGCGCGCCAAGAGTGACCTGACGGTTGATGAGAAGCGGAGGTTGCAGATGGAGCAGGAGGGCATTTTAGAGGATCCTTGATCCCGTTGATGGAAGTAATGTGCAGATGATGATGGAATTTTGGGAAGCGTGTCAGCATGGTATAAGGGCCGAACTTTGCATTTCTTACATCTGTCGTCCCTGTGTATAATGATTCGGTAAAGCGTTTCGACAACAAAACTTCTGGCAGGGCGGTGAGGAGCAAAGGATTTAGCGGGATATAGATAGAGAATGACAGAGCCTAGATCACGCAAGAAATGCAGAGTAATGAACGGTAGTCTGACCAAGGCCAGCTGAGATTATATCTTAATGAACGCAATTTGGTCGCATACGGGGATGCATCGCGGCAGCTTTGTCCTTCCATTCTAGCCCCAATTGGACGGATTATGTCCTATTTCCTCCGACGAATTCAGCCAAGCCCCAACTTCACAAAGGTCTCTTTGTATGCAAAGAACGATAGGCGGCAGATCCCTTTGCAATATTCCTTCCTTAATGTTATTGTCATTTGAAGAAATGCACCATCGCTGTTGGATAGTCGCAGATCTACTCCATTACAGTGTAGGGCGACGTTGAGAGCAGAAATGAGAGAATCGCGAGATAAAAGCTTTTTTTGCAAGCAGCGGTACGTAATCTTCTGACTGAGTAGGTACAACATATGAACTCAATATGAGCGAGCACATCCGATGCCAGGGCTACTAGAGCTATTAGTCAAATTACACATTGCTCGTGTGATGGGTATCATGCTACTTGTTGTTTTCGACTAGAATTAACCTGATCCTCACCCTGTTTAGAGTATGAGGTCAATCTTATCTAGCAGTTGAGTCACATATACTCGATACAGAGCTCTTTTCATAGAATGCTATTGTGATTGTTGAATCAAGTAGAGACGGAGACAGAGGATAAGTGGGAGCAAAACGGGTGGAGTCCAGAAGATTTTCTGATAGTCAAGAGGGTCATGACTAACAACATGACCTGTGCAATGACCTGTGCCATGAGCAATACTGTCCTGGTCGCATCAGTGGTTGAATCCCTTGTCTCACATCGGGAAAAATGGATATGACTGTTGTTAGACCAATCCTCAGGGTAGTTAGGAACTCTGCTTAGTCAATATCCAACTGCGGTTTGACAACATCTCATCAAAACCTGTAAAACAAAGAGTGTATTCTGCGTACAAGCGTAGTTTGCAGTATGATGATTGATATTCGACTTTCAAGGCTACTGCCACTACTGTCATTAGACCATTTTTGCTATAAGGAATCCAGGGCCGGCTAAGCAGACATACAAGAGCTTTTGAACATCCGCACCCGCATGGCTTTTTCGGGAACTGTTCGAGATCACCACTTACTGGAATATCATCAATAACTGCCCCGATCGGCATCGATAGTATAGACAATCTGCTTGTAAATCGATCATATGTCTCATTGACACATACAATCTAGATTTAAAGCATGATATGTGAGTGGCTGAGATCCCTCAACACGCAGCAAAACACCCGCGTACTCTCTTTGTCATCGCTGAAACTCCTTTTTTGCATCACCACTTTCAGGTATCCTCCCAACCTGAAGCTTCCTACTCCCGCTCTACTTATTGCCGCGCTTTTGACCGCTGCTGTCGCGTTGTCCGTTCAAAATGGCTCGCCAACATTGGAGCAGGGGAAACCTGCGGTAAGCAAGTCATCACAACCATCACACAACTGGCTAGGCTGACAACGATGCTTTCAAGAAGGGGCAAGCAGTAGGTCCCTTTCCACGGCTTGCTGTATCACAGTCAATGAACTCGGCCATGCAGCGAGACATTGTTGTGGACAGTCGTCACACGAGAAGCAAACGCCAAAACGAGGATTGCAATGAACTAGCAGATGACACTCAAGAAGAGAGTACATGTTATATCGATGCAGAGCTCGACGAGTGCATAAGCGTTGCAAATCGGGATATAGAGGCGGAAACACAGTGTTGGCAGAGTGCACTTCAGGATTGCTCGGACAACATAGCTGATAACGCTGAAGATGTTGACCCCTGTTACCAAAGATATGCTTTTATCTGAGGTAGCATGAGGTAAAACGTATCAACATCTCTAGCTATGCACGGAACCAGGTTTTAAATTCTAGTTGCTGCGGCTGAGAAAGCAGATTGTGAGCACCCTGGCTGTCCTAGGATGAAGTGCAAAGCCTCGAGGGGGAGAGAATGCCGCGGCTATGGATTAGTTTGGGTTTGTGTCAAATTATGTGCTTGGAGAACTATTGTTCTGCATGTGAATGGATCACCTATCATGTATATTCAGAGGTTTCATGTCTGCAGCAGATTGGTCCAGTAGCCATTTGTATTTCAGCGTCTATCAGCAGTATTAGTGTATCTTCGGGCTCGCAAATTTGAGTGGTGTCGATACTCAGCTTCCTGCTACAAAATGAAAGAAAGCAGGCGCTAAAGCGAGAAAGCTAGTGGACGCTATTGACAGCTTGCATTTGGATTGACTTCTCACGGAGCGAGAGCATTGTGGATCACAATTATCAATCCTATCGGTAGTCGGGTGCTATCCTAGCAATCTTACCCCGCATGCATGATTCGGATTGAGGATCCGACGACCTGAAGTTGTGCAACCATGCGTCGATATAAATAACTTGTTGTCATCCACCTCCCTGCTTCGGAATTTCTTGCACTTCCCAGTCATATACACAGCTCCAAACAATGTCCAGCCCAACAATGCAAGTCGCCCCGAGCTCTACCTGATCCCCCCTACCAAACACTCTCCCAACTCCCCCTTTCCCGTTATCGTCTATCGCGGCGCCCTTCTTGATCGTACTCCAACCGGTGCCTTGGAAGCCATAGAGCTATCTGAATGGGCCCACGGTGGTCATTGGAAAATTGGTGGCGAGAAGGTCGCCACCACACCTCATTATCACGGCACGACCCATGAAGCCTACACCGTTCTCCAGGGAAGTGGGACCTATCTTCTCGGTCGATCACCGTTGACCCCGAGACAGATGAGAAGAGGAACTCCGTGGGCGTGAAGTTTGTCGCGAAAGCAGGTGATGTCTTTGTCTTTCCGGTACATAGTTCCAAACGACTCTATTGAAGAAAACTTATGTCTCACGATGAGGTGAATTACGGGCTGGAGTCACGCACTACGTGACTGAGACGGAGGACGACTATGAAATCATCGGGTTCTATTCCTTGGTGAGAGGCAAATTAGCTCTTATTACCCTGCTGCAGACTGATCAGTGGCAGAACGACCGAAACTCCATGGAAAGCCCGTATGATATGGAGTATGCCTTAGACTCGATTGAGAAGACCGATGAAAAGCGGCAGATGTGCAGGCAAGTGCCTGTTCCGGCCCACGATCCGATCTACGGTACGGAAGGGATTCCGAGAATCTGGCGAGAGGAGTGAGAGCATGCTGACCATATGTTCCCATCTTTTAACTTAACATAACGACCTGCACTGAGATCATATCTCTCAGGAAGATTCACTAGTGCATCGCTTCTCTTTCTACTCAATATTTTATTATCGTGAAGTAGGACATAGATCTCGAACTGTTGGCCCCCTGCGATCTGTAATTACAAGGAGAGCGAGATCGACCAGTTGTAAGACAATATGTAATCAAACACGAGATCACAAAGTCAACAACAAGATGAGGAAAACCTTGATGCAGGCAGCTCAGAGCCGTGAAATGAGGGTCGAGCGGTAGAGGTTCGTATTCGAGCTGGGTCTGAAACAATTGCGGGGGCCGAAGGATTAGGGATGCGCGCCTAATTTACCCAACTACTAATCATCATTTTCTCCTCTAGGCTTTAGCGTCAGGGCCAAAGTGAAGCGTGTTGTGCTCCCGGGAAATGAAACATACAGAAGATTATTGCTGATTTTGTCTCACAATGTGGTTTCCCGAGCGGGTATATAAGCCTGGGCACAAAACAAGATGAACGGATTCTCGTCTCCCTCAGAATCACAATCATATACATCTGAGAATCACAAACATGTTACCCACATTGGTGATTCTTGGCCTCAGTGCCGTCGCCAACGCGCACGTCGCCGCCTGGGCGAAAGGAATGTACTGTCTGAACGGCACCTCCGGCACTGATGACCCCAACACCAACACGGCCGTCAACCCCCTATACATGCTCGATCAGTCCGACTGGTGGTTCCAGCACGACCGTAGCTGCGACAGCTTTCCCCCCGCAGACGGCGATTTTCTCGAGCTTCCTGCCAACGGACAATTCACCGTGGAGCTGGCGCACAACCGCGCGCAGACGACGCTCTCGTACAATGGCCAATACGCGGGTGAGTGGCCCGACGGCAACGACCACCCTGGAGATTGGTCGGGTCCCGGAAGCCCCCCTGACTGCATCCAGGATGACGGGGCGATGCACACGCAGAATCAATCCATGGCTGCAGGAACGGCATTCGCGATCAGCTATCAGAGCGACTCGACCCAGGTGACGATAGAGAACCTTGTTGTCTTTAGTGTTTTGGAGCAGTAAGTGTTCACTTGGATTTCGAGACGTCAAGTGACTTACACGCTTGATGAAGCACCCCGTGGAAGAGACTGGCTACGTACGACGTGCCGGACCTCCCTGCCTGTCCGCCTGCAGGCTGCACCTGCGCTTGGCTTTGGGTAAGATCTACATACATACACACCCAACTTCGTCGGACAATTCCATTGACAATTAGTCATAGGTTCCCAACGGTTGCGGACAACCTAACATGTGAGTTACATAGACCCTATCTTGTGGGCCAAGGACTAATGTGTTAAGGTACATGCACGGTTTCAAATGCACCGTGACGGGAGCCAGCTCGACCAAGACTCTTGCTGCGGCACAAGCTCCTGTCTACTGCGGTGACGACTCATCGAAATGTGTCAAGGGCGCCAAGCAGATGATCGCATGGAACCGTCAGTACTCGATCCGTTGCGTTGCTGCCTCATTGCTGATAAGAAGGTTATACAGAACAATCCGGTAACAATGTGGAAACCCCCAGTGGGGTCAGTCCCGCGTACAGCAGCGTCTTAGGGTGGGAGAGTGGTATGATCATTTATTGCACCTAATAAACATTTGACTGACCACAAACCACACGCAGGTGCTCAAAATGATATTTTCAGCTGAACAGTCGGTCCTTGGTGATTACCTCAATGCAGCTTGAGTCGAGGATTTCTGTACTATATTTTTGTCAATGATTGATAATGGCCAGTGTGGATTGTGGCATTTCGGATTTGACTGTAGCATACACCCTCTATCGGGGACGAGTCAGCATTGATCCCGCCACAGCCCTTTCCAGAGACTGTACCACGAGAAAGATTTTGTGATGGCTGGCCACATTGTCGAGGGCAAAGACTTCGTCTCTGCCCATCAGAGTAGCATGGTCATATTGGGTAGACTGTGGGATCACAGAGCCCGTCAAGCCACGGAGAAAATGTGATTCCAGATCTTGCGGTCGGAACTCCTTGCAATCGTCTTCGACGTATCACTCTCAGGTACAAGTCAGGAATTGTCTATGAGAGCCACCTCAAACGCGACGTGATGCCCGAAACTCACTCCCAAGCACGCGAGGTCTTGTTCAAGTGATAGCCTCACATCTGCCTGAGTTCGCTATTAGGAGCTCCCCTGCTGTCTATGAGCTCTCTAACATGTGATACTCAGAGCGTCGAAGCTACCTTATAGCTTATCTAGTTTAAAGCCAGAAGGACTGGTCGCAAATCAGATTGTTAGACAGTAGCAGGAAGCTCTAAGCTAATGGGACTAGATACAGCAGCCAGCCTACAACTATGGGTTCGTAGCACCCAAGCGATTGTTGAGGCATTACGGGCAGGCAAATGGACGACAGAACTCCTTAGCATCAGATAAGATGAAATGACAGAATCTCTCATCCTTGATTGGGCGATAAGCCGCGGGTCGTGGAAATAAGCTCGGGGAGCATCCGTGGCTATCAGATTGGTCGCGGGTGGGCAGAATCACTCGTCGACGTCACGGGGATGAGTCTTCCAGTACTCGTCTAGCTCTTTGTCGCTCAAACTGGGGACAGCATCGTAATGAGTGAGCGGGGCTAGAGGGATGCCCAACTCCTCGAATTTCGCAAGGCGTTTCTTGGTCAGCTCGTGGGTCTTGTTGACACTATACACCTTGACGCGATGCGCGGAAGATGTGACGTGCAACCCCCAATTCCAGGTCTGACGGATTCCAATCGGCTCAGTGTTGAGAGCGTTGTCCCATGTCCTCACGACCAGCTCGATCCATCCTTCTACATCGCAGGGAATATCAATCTCCCATGTCCGCCACGTCCATTTGCCCTTCTTGGACAGGCGCTCCTCCGGGACTGCATACCAGGTGAAACCGCCGTCCGCTGAGAGCTCGACACGCTCTGGCCAGCGTCCACCACCACTGTAGGCCCATCCCTTGCATGCGATTGACCCGTTGTGGAAGATAACCTGGTGCTGCCAGGGTGACATGATCGCCGAGCTGACAGGCATCTCCTGGATCTGGATCCCGTCAATCGGGCGCTGGTTGTACTTGCCGACCTGTTGGTTGAAATAGAGGTATTCGCGGCTCTGAACTGGAGCAATTGAGGCATTCTCAATTACCTTGATTCTGTAAAGCCATTTGACGGACCTCGCCCCGATATACCCGGCAACCATGACGCGTAAGGGGTACCCGTGGATTTTGGGGAGTGGCTCTCCATTCATCTCCCAGGCGAGCATGACCTCATTGGCCTTGACCTTAGACCAGGGCACGCTGACCACGTAGTTCATCACCTCCAAGTCCTTGACGTAAGTCTCCGCGCCGTATAGTTCGAGATGCTTGGCGCCGTCGATCAACCCCCCACAATCCTTGATGACCTTCTTCAGGCTGATACCGACATATCGAGCTGTTCCAATGGCTCCTTCAGCCCACGGTGCCTGGGGCACCTCATCGCCTTGACCAGGATATAGAGTTATCTGTTCGATTCGACGAGTTCCGGAGCATTGCATGGTGATAGTCTTCTCCATGCGCGGGAACCGAGTTTCGTCCATCAGTTCGTCCAGGGTGTACGTCTTTGGGTTCTTGACTAGCCCGTCTAGCTTTAGCTCGAATTTATCCTTATCGATCAGCGGAATACCGCCGTGATTGCGCACGAAGTGCAAGGGATTCGGGGTAATGGGCTTCGACGTCACCAACCGTTTGGGCGGCTCTCCGTTGTATGGGAACTGCAAGAGATGCAGCATGTCGGGATGCTTCTCTTTCAGGACCGTTTCCCACGAGTCATCGGCTACGGTTGTCAGCTCGCCGCCGATGGCAGCATGCCAGGCTTTGAAGTCGTCTCCCGACAGTACGGGGTTGGTGCCGGGGATAGGTCCAAATTGGTAGTCCGGACAATCCGGAAAGGTCTGAGACTTGAGGATTTCATGCGCCTTGGCCTTCTTCTCGGGGTGATCCTCCCATTCCACATATCTGGCAGTGAATCAGCTGCGTAATCGAGGTGGATAAGAAACGAGACATACCCAAGCCAGCCCTCTCGTTCCCGAGCGAACAACTTATCGCGATTCCCAACCGCCTCAATCGCCACTTTGTCTTGCTTGATCTTGGCCGGCGGACGAGGATATATGTGGATGGTCTCTTTGCCGGTCTGGTCGAGGATAGGCAGCTTGTGGCCTGCCATGCCCTGCTCAATCATCCACTCATCGGGGCGATTCTTGGTATCTGATTTCTGGCTAATTTCCATTTTGAAGGTGTGCTCGCAAGATTAAGAGCCGGTTCGACGTGCTCAAGTTGTCTAGTCGTAGGGCTGAGAGTGGGTTGAGGAGGTGTGTTATCTGTTTATCTGCTCGCAACGAAGGAGGGGCAAGTCGATCAGTCGGATTCGGGAATTGGTGATTGTCCAATGACGTCTCCCAATCGCGTCCAGGTGGCTGTCACGTCGGATAAGGCGGAGTCAATCACATCAACTTCTCGTATTTCTCCCCGACCGGACTTCCTGGGCTAGCTTGCAGGGGTCGAGAGAGGACAAAGCCACATACCTAATGCATGGTCCATTTGCTTGCACAGGGCACCAGTCCCAAGACGGCATCTTTAGAGTGCTCCATGCATTTTGCTACCAAAGATGGCCTGTGAATGTCTCAAATGATAGCCTATTAGATCCTGGTTTCAGGGAATATGGCAACGCACCTCGTGTCGGACACCACCACGTCATACGAGTGCGCCGTGGTTGCATCGCTCATAACCCCACCAATCATTCCAGCTCGATTACTCTGCAATGTTCAGAGGTGAGAAAAAGTGGCCGTCAACTTACAAGCTCTGCCATAGAACAGAGACGTCGAAGGGAAGTGGGGGGAGATCATCCTGAGCTCCACTCGGCCTTAAAACTCATCCGGAAATTCCGAGCCTAGACCCTGTTTCGCATTCGCCCAGGAATGTCAACACCAAACCTGCAACATACTGAAGGTATGAGCTCATCGAAACTCTGTCGCATTGCCTCTGCCGCTGATTATGTTTCAAATAGCTTCTTTGAGGCAGTAGCAATCTTTGACTCGGTGCCAGAACCCTTGTGGAACTAAGATGCGCTAATGCGACCGTAGAAGTTTGGCCTAATTGAGAGCCTGAGGCAGTGCACGTCGGGGGTCCATCTCGCACAGTGGTCACTACCACTTCAATTGTCCTTATCGTCGTACAGCCTCTTGTACTCAGTTTTTGAGAGGTTTTTGCCCCTTTCAGGTCCCTGACATATGCACAGTCTAGTCAAGGCTTTCGACTGGAGGAAGAATATTGCCATTGACGTGCAGCCTGAACACCACGAGGTACTCCGAGTATATGCGAGGGACTACAGGATGAGTGCATGTGCACACTACCCGGGCCCTCTCGATTCCTTACTCCGTATGAATGGGTGCAGTTCTTATCGGGCAAAATTTTCCTTTTCGTTAATTGTTAAGACCGCATGGAAGCTGCGGAGCGCCGGCAGCGTACCGCTAGGTATTCCACCCACAGGGGGCTTCAACCGGAGAACCCTCATATCGTCATAGACTTTGCTTTTTCTCCACCACAGACTCTGGGAACGGCGATAAGGAAACCACAAGTACCCGGCTGATGTATCCAGTGAAACAAATAAATCCCAAGAAGGCAAGAAGAAATTTAGTATACCTTGGCGAGGTAACGTGGTGAAACATCGGAAATCAGCTGCAGTTTCTGGCACCGACCCCGACTCCTAAACAGGTATGAAGCCCGGCATTTTTGCATTGCTGACTCATACAGGGTCTTTATGCAAAAGCGTTACTTTTGTGCGAACGTGTAAATCGTTCATTAATCTATGCCGAATGAACGTACTGTACATCTTTACCATCTTTGAATTTAGGCAGTTACTCCACTCGGTGATCCCCAATCTACAAGATACAACTCTACTTGGACTTCAAAATTGAAACTCAAAAGATTTTTCGATCGTACAGCAAGCTGCGAATAAAGTAGTAGTAAGACAAAGTGCCGGATCTAGCCCAGCGTCGAAGGAAAGTAGAAAGAAGGTACACAGAGCACTTTATACATGGGCTTGGCGAGTCATCGGCGGAAAGCGAAGCGGGCCATGTGACGAGTACCAGATTGCTGGCATCACTTGTACATGTCCCGACAAGGCATGTGCCACAAGACGATACCCCTTTTCTCAATGGGTTGTTGCAAAGAGTCAGCTGCTTAGACGTGGCCAACACCGGCGTTAGCCATGGTCCAGGCGGCAATGTTGGTAGGTGCCTTGGCAGGGGCGATGTTCTTGCCCTGGAACTTGCTAAGGATGCTGGTGTCGGAGCCGCTCATGGAGCCGGAGGATCCGAAAGCGTTAAGCTGGCAAGAACGGCCAAGGTAGGACTGGCAGAGCTTGTTGGTGTTGGCGTCGGGGGAGCTGAACAGGGCGCCCTGGTAGGGGGACTCAACCACGGTGTCGACGTTCTGGAAAACGTTACCCTCAGCCAGGACATAGCCACCCTGGCCAATCTCGAAAGCGTGGCCCTCAATGTTGTGGAAGAGGTTGTTAACCTATCAAAGTTCTTAGTGGGGTTCCGGTTTCCGTAGCTTCGCGGACACTTACGGCGTGAAGAAGGGTGTTGCTCTGAACCTTGGGCATACGACCGGACAAGTAGTAGAAGTAGTTGCCCATCATCGTGATCATGTCGTTAGAACCATCCAGATAGATTCCCCAGTAGTGGTGACCGTTACAAGTCGCGGAGTAGTCGGAACGGCCGTCGATCAGGTTGTAGGAGATGGTGACGCGGTTATCGGCCTGGGTGCCAAGGACAATGTGCTGACGAGCGATGCGGGCAGTGGTAACGTGATCAATCCAGACGAGATCAGCGTTGTTAAGGGTGATAGCATCACCACCCCAAACGTACTTAGGGTTGATATCAGTGATAGCGATGTTCCTGGTCCGGGTCAATGGGGGAGCCAATGCAAGTACCGTGATGGAACAACTCACTGGATGATGATGTTCTTGGCACCGCTGACCATACGGATACCCTTTCCTTTGATACCTCCAGCAGAGCCCTTGCCGACAAGACTCTTGTTCGAGTTGACAGTGATACCGAGGACACCGGCCTTGTCACTGCACCACCTAGTCAACACTTGATCCCTCAACGGATATAACAAGTTGAATAGACTTACTAAGTGATGGAAGAGACCTTGGGAGCATTGGGCTCGTAGTTGTTGCACCAGTTGTCCTTGTTAATGGCCTGTTGGCACTTACTGCCTGTACCCCACGGACTGCAGCCGCTGGTGGTCTCGGTGCCTTCAGTTCCAGTGAAGTCGAAGCTGTATTCAGATGGTTGGTTAGCCATGTTGCTCACCTGCTGTCTTGAGGAACGAATGACTTACATCTTGTCGAGAACAATGACACGGGGCTGGCTGTCGCCCAAGTACGAGACCAGCTCGTCATTGGTCTTGGGGTAGACCTCAGCGGCGCTACCACCACCGGTCACACCCTTAGCAAAACCCTGGGCGGCACCAACGACACCAGCGTTGACGCTATTCGCGAAGACAGCCGCGGCGGCGGCGAAAAGAGTTGTGTACTTCATGATAAGCAGATGAAAAGAGTGTAAAGGAAAAGGAATGAATGAATGAGGATAAGGAAGAAAAAAGAGAGTGGTTTGATGGTTGGGATGAGCAAGTCAAGTTCCTATCTTATATAGAGAACCCTGGGTATCCTGGTGGAGTTGGAAGAAAACCCCTGTCTGCAGCTGAGACAGGCTTACCCAATTCATCAAGGAACTGGAGCCAGGCGCCGAACGTTGGACCCGTTCGTTCATTGCAGCAGAGTAGAACCGGAGGTCCATCTGCAATGGGACATGCTCCACCCTGAGCAGATTCGGGGTTCTTGGCAGCACCCACACAGGCCAATTGTTTGGTCAGGAACAGGATACTATGCCCGTTCCACCGGAGTTCAATCCCTTCTAGAAAACATCCCTTGGCAGGACCGGTTCTACCATAGCATCGATAGCATGAACGAAGATGAATCCATTGAATGAGGCTTTTTCTTTGCCCCACTTGCAATTTCACGGCACCCCATGATAAGAGGTCAAGTTTGGATACTGAAGAGTGCCCACCTAAAGCTTGCAGCTGAAGATCAGAGGAACACGGAAAGCTTAGTTCTTGATGGATGAGCTGGATTGATGCAACTGAGCATGGTTGAAGAAATCAAGACTGAGGACTGTACGAGCCCATCACGAGTGAGCTCGGAGAGGGGGTCGTTGCTGCCTGCAGACCCTGACCGAAACGCTCGGACCCAATCGCTTTCCGTCGCTGCCGAACACCGTAACGGTCACGTGCAGCGTCTCGACCTAATCTCGTCTCACGTGAATTTTGATGCAGCAGTCCTGCCAAGCCTCTTTTGTCTCACCTCAATATCTGCTAAGAGTCTTGGTAGGATCACTACCGTATGATCGAATAGATTGATTCCCCACGAGACTTAGAGATACCAAGACTTGAACTGTCAAGCGCCTAAGACATTTCTGGCTTCCGATGGTCTACGCTGCAATCCTATTAGCGGATCAATGCCGTTGAGTATGAAGTACCGATGCAGCCAAGTATAATTCATCTTGTCGTAAGGATCTTCTGCTACTTCGAGTCCCCGCTGCTTGATGATGAATAGCGCTTCTCCGAGTCATGGTGGCTGAGTCCCGCGACAAGCTACTACACCGTCGCTGAACACCGATTGTAACCTTTCTACAGAGTATGTTTACTACAGCACAGTTTCCAAATTAGCCGTCCGCTATCTTCGAGCACCTTTCATTGGTACACAAGAGAAACGTCTGGTAGCTTCATCAAGTGTGTCATGAATCAATGTACTTCTCTACTCTATTTAAGTTTATAAATTGCACCTAACTGTGAGTGGCAAATTATCATTTCTAATCCGAGCCCCTGAAGTTTACCGCCAGGTAGGACTCTACTACAGTATACTCATGCATCCTGCCGGAGCCGTAGCCTAGACATCCGTTAAGTAGAACGCTCGAAAGACGAGGCTCTTTTGTGTTACCTCAATACTTCCAAATATGGTTCCAAGCAAGCAAGTAAGGCAGCGAGGCATAGGTTGTCTCATTGAACTGCAACAATTCTCAATTAACACAATGTAGTAGATGCATGGCTGCCTTACTCGCTTGCTTGCTTGACAAGGTGCTTAAAGATTGTCTCAATGCCTCATTTGTCCATAAATATGCCTGGATATGTGCTTGACTACCCCACTTACTGGGAGAGATGCTGGGAAAGGTGCTTGGGCAGGTGCTTGGGCAGGTGCTTGGAGAGGTGTTTATACCCCCTATCGGATACCATCAGACCATACTATGTAGCCAGCTAACGTAATAGTATACATTACACAAGATGACGGCCATTGTCAGCCTTCCTTGAGTCTTAAGATTTCGGGTTTTGATATTCTCGGCCCCACTCTCAGTAGGCATATAGATTCTGAGAACCTCGAAGTCTCCGTCCGCCTCAATGCTACCTGCAATCAAGGCAAGCAACAACTCAAGTCATGGGGACAGGAAGAAGGACGGAAGATTCCAGCAGGACCCTCGCTCCGCACTGTGTATGTATCTAATGCCTAAGGCATCAATGAGCTGGTGCCTGACAGGCTGCCGCGGCGCCTGTGAACAAGTCATCCTTTAGCGAGAGACAACCTGCCGGTAGATAATCCTCACGTTCGTTACTTTTGGAGAGATGGTTTCATCAACTAGGCAGGCATGTAGCTAGAAACGAATATGGAATGGATCGCTTCGTTCTTTTGTTCCATTGAGCTCAACCAGTCAGTTGCCGCGGCCGGAGGAAGATAATTCTAAAACACTGCCAGGAGAACAAAGGAGAATGCGGCCGTTCGCTTGATCCAGCCTGAGAATATTCTTCAGCCGCAGGAGAACATTCCCGACCAATTCCCCTCCGGATCAAAATTATGAGAATACTTTGTTGTGACTCGATAGACTTCGTGTTGCAGGATCCGGACCCCAACCGGTTGGGGTCCAAGCCACATTCCTCCCTACACCCGTCCACGTGCTCAACATATGGTCTCCGACAGTTGTTTCAGTTGGAATAGTTGGAATGTGTGCTTCTGTATTGAGCAGAATTGCGCCCAATTGACCCGTTTAATAGGGTGGGCATAGCTTGTCTCTTTCCCTGGAATCTTTGGGGGCGGGCCTGCGGCGGCAGTGCCGGGTACAGTATTTAGGGCTTCAACATCTCGCACTACTCATCTTCATTTCACTGCGATCATCAGTTGAGCCTAGTCTCGTCACTTACAGTTTCATATCACTCTCGACCGAGTTTGATCTCAGTCAATATTACCTAACAAAGAATGCTTCCACCCTTAGATAAGATCCTCAGTTACTTGCATTCAGGATCTCACGATCGCAAGGTCAAACAACACCTCAGAAAAGCCACACAAGGTCCAATCTACATTTGATCACACATTGAGCACAGTATCAATACTAACAGCGTACTAGAATCCATCAAGCAAAATCTCCAAAATGTACTACGACCCATAATAACAACAGAAATCCACAATCCATGGACGACATTCGACGCTTCATGTGTGGAGGACTCGGACCGCCGACGCTGTAAGATATGCGCCCGCCACGATTTCTCGAGCCAGCTAATCTTGGAATTGAGTCTGGACTAAGAACAGCTTGAAGAGCCAAATTCAACGAACGCACCCGGGCGCTTCATTCTCCGAGAATGCCATCGATTTGTTGTGGAAATGCTTCTGATTCTTCGCTCACCATCCGTTTACATGCGAGTCGACCGACAGGATAGCCAACGAGAGAGTCGACGCAGATGCCTTTCAACGAGCAGTAGCCTTGATCGCGCACCAAGGCACTGAACTGTTGGGAGCACAAGAGGCAGGAGATTACTATTGGTGACTTGACGAGACGTTCTTTCACAGAGCCCATTTCGCAAGGGTGCTAAGAAGCATCGGTCTTTTGGGGAGCACCCAGGTCTTGTCCACTTTTGAGCCACCAGACTATTCCCAGTCTTCTTTGGACGATATTATGGATGTGCTGGCTACGACACAGCCATTTTCTGTAAACCTAGCACCGTCACCAACTCAGCTGGAAGCGGCTGCCAGGAGGCTGCTCGACGCGGGATTCTCAACCACAACATACCGGCTCAGACACACGGAGCTCTCGACCTTTTTAGCCTTACTTCTCCGACTGAGGGTTTCGAATGTCAAATGGGGCAGGGATTATTACTTTGGGTCCTTCGCGGACGAGGATCCGGCGGATGAGGTGTTGGCTAACGCGATGGCTCCAAGACTGATCGGCAGTAATAAGGCAGACTTTGACAAGGCTTTAGAACTGACGATGGATGCATTGGTAAGAAGCCTCTACCCAACCGTCAACTAAGATGCTAACAGGTGCAGCCAAATCTTGTGCCACGTTTCCATCAACTATGGACAACTCTTTTCCAGCCTCCAATGTCGGACTTTGACGTGGAACTCGAACCAACAGATGAAAATATGTTATCGCGTTACTTGGCCGCCGCTTCATTGTTCGTGCCTTTGCCTGAGGCATTGACACCCGCTGGTTTGCGAGATAGACACATCAGTCATAATAAAGTCGGAGCGAGTCAAGATGAACCTATTCTATCATTTCCGAGTCTCGTCCACCGCCTCCAGAATATGCCAGATTCCCACCTCATCCTGGCCACGAATCTTCACGATCCCCATGCTCCAGCAACCGTAATAGGAAGCTTCATCCCTAGTCTATTATGTGCAATGTCCGACAGCAGCAGCGGAACCCGAAGCCGCAAGACTGGAGACGCACACCTCCTCTTCCAGCTACAGCCGAACTTCCGACTGATCCGATGGGAAAGACCTCAAGCACTTCCGAAGACCTTGATCAAGACCAATTACGAACTTGCCTCTCTCCACGCCGTGGATGCAGAGAGCGGGCAACAGACGTGCATGAAACCTTACTATATCGGGGACTCGAAAAGAAGCACTGCTAGGCTGCTTATCCATCCAGAAGGGAGTTCGGTGTCATTGCATGGCTCAAAAGATTTGAGCACTGCAGCGGTGGGGAGATATAGAGAGGTAACGAGAAGTGACACGGGAGATAAGGATTGGGAGGTAGTCGTGCAGCATTGCACAGTTCATATGTTCGCCGTGGTCTAAATATGTCTAAAGTTCTGAGTCATACAGTTCTACCACTAGAGTCATTGGGGGTGAAACTGACGAGCTCCTTAGCCCGCAGGGTCCTCACCCACGGATGCGTTAGGCATCCGTGGCGGTATAAATGTACATAGTTCAGAGCGAAGGGTCTCTGGGCCTTCCTCTTCTCTTTTGGCTCTTATGAATGGGATTCTTGCCTGGAAGACTGTATGCCTCTCGAATCCTTACAGAGCATTTAATAATTCATACTAATGTAACTGCAAACGCTCGTCCAAGTTTTCCGCTATGCACCCTCATCTCACATGTACCGGTCCCAAAGTAGTGCCGCGCCAGCCAACACGGCCATTGAAGTTTCAAAAGCCGCAACCGGTCTCCAATTGCCGCCATTCCGATACATGACCCACGCTGCCACCAGACGAGAAGGTATCGAAGAGACCATGATCAGAGTATCGCGCTGGTATGTCGAGATAAGATAGTATGTGCCAAGCGCAAGAGAGGTCAGACTACGAGGACGATAAGCGACCAGCATGCTGTGTGAGTTGTGAGATACAAAGGCTTACCCTATGCATTGAACAGCGCCTTCAGGCGTTCCGGTCAATGACGAGCCCTCGAAGTGGGCGACCGATGATGGAAACAGGATGGAGTAAAATGCATTTCCGAGAAGGAACACACCTTGGGCGGCGAATACAGTGCTTGAGACGCTGCCCATGCGGAGACCAAGGTTGTGGAAAGACATGATTTAATTACTTTGTGGTTTGGTGAATTATGGTGATTTGACCGAGTGAGCTTATTCTTGGGTGCGCGAGGCTTACTATTTTTATACCAAGGGGGTTTCGTGGGGGCTTTCGGGTTCGCTCCGATCGGCCGCCAAGTCTAAGCGTCGCTGCGGCCCCTCGGATAAACTTTCATACGATTGTCCATACTACCTAATCTCTTGGCAAGAGGAGATGGGAGGTGAGAAGAAAAAGTTGGAGAAAGGAAGATAGAATAAGAGAACACGAGCATGCGTGGGAAGGTTCTCTTGAGATTTGCCTTGGAAAAGATATATAGGGGGGAACGTTTTTCGGAGACCATAGCCTCGCGTCTGTCAGGCCCCGATCGGCCGGCCAGTGAAGGGGGAAGCTCTCCGCATCGTACATGCCAATGGAAGATGTTGAAGCGGTATTTGTGCCGGGCGGTCAACAGATCGAGGATGGCGTTGACCGGAAAGAACTTCCACGTGGTGTCGAGCATAAATCTCCTGTGGGGGTAAAGATCGGAGTCTTCTTCCATGAGATCGATGTATTATTTTGTACCCAGGGCGAAGTTGTAGAGGGCGGAGCAGAAAGGACAGGCGGGCACCCAGACTTTCTACTCGATTTATCGCCACACAACTACTTCGTACGCGGCATCGCCTGTATAGTACTTCGACACCTTGTTACATGGGTCCTTGCTAAGGCAAGCTACAGATACATTTTTCTACCCAATGATCACTCGTAACCCGATACGGTATTAGAAGATGGATTCCGGTCCCCTGCATGGGCCATTGTTAACATAAGGCTAGAGTTCGATATCGATCACGTGTATTTGGGGGCTGTGTAATCTTCTAATAACACAGCTATCCTCGGCTGCAATAATTATATAATTAGTATGTTTAAGCCTTACCAATTCAATCTTCCGCCTCCTCGTGATCAGGTGACGCTCTCCGGCCCCCGATTGACTTGGCTAGTTCGTCCGCGCCACGCGGAATGCAGAGATGTCCGCTCCCATAAAGATTCATCAGTATGAATATGACGATTTCAAATACAAGTTGTGCAAATGTGCGGGTGTGCCTTTATCTAGGACTGAAAGTGGTCAGGTTATAGTTGGAATGAGGTGTCATAATTCTTTGGGTCGGGCAACGTACTTTCGGTGGCCTGTTTCTCTTCGGCAGCTGCAACAGACGAGGCGTCCTTCGCTGTGTTGCTTCCTGTGTCCGTGGTCTTGTCCTGGTCCAGGCCTGACAAGAAGGAACATAAGTCTCCCAAGTGGGGCGACCTCTCATGCTCGAAAGAGTTCAACATACTATCAGAAACTTTCTTCAGTTTGTCATCGAACAACAGACGTGGTCTCCTTGGCTGTGTCTACGACGCCTTTCACTAAACTGACGGTGGTATTTTGAAGCAATGAAGCCATTCCGGGGAGTTGAGCTGTACTGGCTGGTACTTGAGGTAATCGTCGGTGGTGAGATAGATTTGGGACTCTAGATAGACAGGTGAGCTGGGTATACAGGGGTGAGCGTATTTATTGCGGATCTTTTGATTACAGAGGAAAACTGCCCGAGGAAGCTACATGATCCTGCTAAGGACAAATATTTCTTTCGTAATACGAAAACTCTGTCGTCCTCTGCTGACCTATCTCTCCGCGGTGAAGGTCGGCCTGAGAGAGAGCCACTGGAGAGAGGGGGTAGGTCCAGTTGACCCGCAGTGGCCTGACTAGGCATTTGGTTGGCATGGACTGATTGGGGCGATAGGAACAAACTTGTCTGCGTCTAGATTGCTCGTAGGGGCGTTATACACAATGATATCAGAGTGCATCCTTCGAAAGCTGGTTATTCTAGGTGACAAACCTGCCTCGTTTGTGACACACTCTTCCGTAGCGTAAGACAGATCGCTGTCATGTTACACGATGGCGGAAAACCTGCAGAATCGAGAATCGCCTGTGCGGGGTATCAAAATCAAATCTATTTAGATTGGAAAGAGGGGTCGGGTTCGAGCACTCGGGATTTTGATTTGGGTCGGCCCGCAAGAGACCCACTTCAGCTCGACGCGATCAATGTCGCTCCGAGCCCTAGCTCCGAGCCCTAGCTCCGTGCATTTGATCACTCGTGAGCTGATCTGCAGAGTGGCTGCTGGCAAATGGTGAATGAGGTTCTGCTTCCACATCGTAATCTTCGAAAGCCGCTATGCATCAGCTGCCTTTCAAAGACGGGTTCGTCTGACTATCAGCAGACGTCGTACAATGGTTCAAGTTTTGCTCTCTTTTTGGAAATATTACGATAACCGGGTCGATGGTTTTGTGAGTTCGTGATAATGATCGTGGCCGATGTGAGTCCGACCCGCCTGTGCCATGAGAACTGGCATTTTGGCTGGATGCACACCCGACGGGTCGCGAGCGCCTCCGAGACTTGATCTCAACAGCCCTTTCAGAAGTGGGCTTGATACGTAGAGTAATCTGCCTCTTTCAGGTCTCTAAAGAAAGACGAGTGCTCATATTTAATGCACAGTTTGCAACTATACTACTGCACGGTGCAACGAGCCGGGTATAGTCGTGGCTGACATGCTGACTGCACAGATGTATTCTCAGGCTGTGTGAATGTAGCTCTACCATCCCTTTCAGGTAGCTGAGCAATTCTGCGGCTGAGCTCATCATTGCCGACTAATGCCCCCGCCGTGGTTCGCCAAAGGTAGTAACTATGTGTATGAAGGCTAGACACATGAGCTCGGCGACTACAGCTTTCGTCGGATCAAAGACAGTATAGATCTGATAGGTACTGCACATCACAATTCAGGTGAAACAAGCTGCATGTGTCGTCTTGATTGTCCGCGGCTCTGAAGCCCATGTATTATGATGCTATTTTACCCGGGGGTGGGTTTTATGAAGAGAATGGGTTCAAAGATCCTGCGGTACATCGAAAGAGAGATGACATATGAATCCTTGTTAAGAAACCATAGTTCTGAGAGATTGAGATGTGGGAGATTGACAAAATAGCCGCACCAGGCCCAGGTCGACAAGCTGATTACACTTTGATGATGATTATTATTCACACTGACCTTGGCAAAGCATGCTAAGGTACACAGGAGAAAATAGTTATGTTCCAGAAAACCTGTTTTATTGTCATGAAAACAGATTTGATCAGAAAAAAGGAAATGGGGCAAAAAACATACAGCAGAAGGGATTCGCTGGTGGTCACCCACCCAACTACTAACCTCCCGGCGTGTGGCTTAAGTACGGCTGAGCGGACGGGAAGCCCTGTTTTCCACACCCTGTGGTCGTATGTGCTTGTTTCATAGATAGCCGTGTTATAGCTAGCGCATGAATCCATCTTATTACTTGATTACTTGTAATGTTAACTTATAACTACGAGATTCCCCCTCGTATTTTCAATTGCGGCCAACAACCGCCGAGTTTCCCTTCGTCAAAGTGCGGCCTTACACTATCACGCCGCGAGCGACAGCCAGCCCGGCTGGGGCTACTGCTCAATGGTCAAGGATGGCCACAAGTACAGCATCCCCACTCGCCATTGATATACGTGGCCGACAGGC